TTCCCCAGGCCCCTCTTCACTCCTCAGACAGCATCGGAATCTGGCTGCAGCTTGAGGGTAACCGCCCTCCTTCAGCCTGAAATACCTTCCCTAGCATTTGCTTACACACGTTCACACTCCTTACAATCTCCCAAAGTATTGGTAACACTTAATTCTCTAATTGTATCTTTAGCATGGATCCCATTTAGACTGGGATTTCATGTAGGGAAATCAGATTTTATGCTGTTCAGCGTAAGTTTGAATAGACTGACTTAACAATTATATTACCACATTCTGTTAATTCTTATTGTGTGGTTGGCTTTATAACTTTGAACTATGTAACATTAAAAAGCTAAAGCCCTAATCAATTCTTAGAAACAATGCCCAGCGTATATATATAAACTGTAAGTGTGCAGCATATTGTACATGTACTTACCTGCAATATAATACGTATGTGCAGTCAGACTAACAGTTCTACCTGATAAAGATGAAAAAGGAAAAAAAAGCACTACTCTATCAAGATGCAAAGACATGTCTTTATAATCACTGCAGAGTACATTAAAAGAATTATACTGTTATTGTTTACAGAATTCTTAGACCTACAGAAAGAAGGTGCCTTCTGGAACTGCATCATTTCTGCTAGGAAAACATAAAATAATGCTATGAGGTGTTAATAACATAGTGTTTAAAATGATAGGAAGGAATGCATTTTTTGGGTAGGGCTTTACAAAACAATAGACTTCTAATGCTTTTCAGCTTTGTTTCTGGAAAGTAAAGTGTTAAAAATGGCATCAGGATTGAATTTATCTTTCCCCTTTACTTGCGAGGTGTTAACACTTTGGGCTGTTACTACTGTGAAGTTCTATCTTACTCAGCATTTTTTCCTAACTTGAGGGAAAAATCAAAGACAATGTGATTGGCTTATTTGCTAACACTCCAGTGAAAAGAGCATTATTTTACGTAGGCTATGCTGGTTCTTTTACTTTGACCTTTTATTTGAGATATTGTCCCAAATATACGTATGCTTACTCTTTTTCCATTTTTTCCTCTGTCCTTTGCCAGCATTACTTAGAACCTCCAGTGAAGCTGAGTGAGGCTCTAGAAAGATACGGACTTAAGACTGAAGATTTTTTTGTCTTGAAGCATGGAGAATCAAGGTACCTTAATACTGATGATGAAAACTCTTCTGAATAAACATGAGTGCAGGAGCTTTCAATGAAAAAGGCACCATCTGATAAAAATCTGAAAAGACTAAAATTCATGAACATTACGATCTTTTACATTTGGAAACCACTTCTGCAAGATTGTGTCTTGTCTTACAGTTTGCTTACTCACATGATGGCCAATCATATAAACAGAGTGCAGAGGTGGGTCATTTAAATAATGAATTGGGTAATGTGGATTTTAAATCACATCTTGATGACCTAAGCATTGCTATGGAAGTTTTTTTACTAAAGCATTCTACTTTAGTGGTAGGAGTTTGAAGTTATGGAAAACTGATTTTAAAGACTCATTTCTGTTTTTCTATTCTTCGGGGCCTTCTGCGAGTTGAGGCAAGGCTGTCTGCCTGTCTAGATTTTCAGAAGCCTGCACGTAGAAACAGTTCTTATACTCATATGAGAGTAAATGATGACATTCCCACATGCTTAGAGCAATGATTGCTCTGTCGAGATTAGTTTATATGCCAAATATTAAGTGATTTATTTTTTTAAACATAAAAACCTAGGAGTTTAGGCTAAATTATCATTTGTAAAGACTTAACTTTTTAAAAGAGAGGAACAGTATATTCTATGGCATGTCTACAATCCCCAAATCAAAAGCCCTCTGAGCTGGGCAGAGGGAGGAGAAATATGGTTATGAGAATATGATTTGAGGAATTGGAGATTAAACATACAG